AATTTTATTATATGTTTTAAGGAGATTATAGATGGGACCGAAACTGGGAACTCATGTTATCAACCAGAATCTGATATATTTAAAGACTTGATCGGAAATTTAACGCTAAGTAAGGACTGTTTGGTACTAAACGTATGGACACCTCATGTTAGAAGTAATACTTCATTGAAAGACTCACCACTAAAACCAGTGATGTTTTGGATTCATGGCGGAGCCCTCTATCTCGGGTCATCATTTCAATACCAATACAACGGCAGTGCACTGGCAGCTCATGATGTGGTGGTTGTGTCCATGAACTATAGCATTGAGTTTCAAAATTAAGTAGCATTCACATTTAACAACGCTATAGGTATTACCATTTGTAATAATTTGTAATACGTGCAACTCAATGAACTATAGATTATCTCAGTTTGGGTTCCTATACGGCGACGATGAGACCGCTCCCGGAAATTTAGGATTTTATGACCAGTTATTAGCTCTCAAATGGGTATTAAATACTTGAAATTTTAAATATAATTAAATTATAAAACTCTATTTAATTACAGGTGAGAGAAAACATTCACAAATTTGGAGGGGATAGGGATCAGATCACTATATTTGGTCAGAGCGCCGGCGGTTGGTCCGTATCGGTCCAGTTATTCTCTCCCCTTTCGAAAGGCCTGTTTAAGAGGGCTATTATGGAAAGTGGTGCCCATATGTTCAATAAGGACAGGGATGTTAAGAGTAAAAGTGAAGCCTTTGCTGAGGCTAAACAAATGGCAAAGCATTTGAATTGTAGTGAAAATGAATGGTTAGAGTGTTTGCGGAAAGTGGGTGCAGAGGACTTGAATGAAGTCCAATTGAGTATGACTGTGGCCACACTCGACACGGAATACCTCCCGGTGTCAGCACTTAAAGCGTTTCAAACACAAAAATTTAATAAGGGTATTTAAATATTTTTTGCGATAAAAATATTTATATTAGTTTTATAACAACTTTAAATCACTTGCCAATGGATACAGATCTAGACATAATGGCAGGTGTGGCCGCACACGAGGGCTAAAGTCTTTTAAATAGTATACTTCAAGAGATACCCCACAACCTCACGGAATCCCAATTCAAACAAATGGTTCAGGGTTATGATTCTATATTTCACGAATTGAATGCAACGGCTATTACGGAATTTTATATGAGCAATATTAACAAAAGTGATCCAGACCAAGTCAAATGGGCCGCGTATGACATGTTCGGTGATTTGATGATCACGTGTCCCACCTATCAATTTGCCAAAAACTATGCCACACACTCGGGCACCGGTAGTGTGTATTTCTATGAGGTTACGTATACAAGGACTAACAGGATAAGTCCAGAGTTTGATGTCACCCATGGTGCTGAACAAGATTTTGTGTTTGGTTTACCACAAATTTACCCTGATAAGAAAGATACCCAAGTGGACAGGGAGTTTAGTTTTGAAGTTATGAAAATGTGGACTGATTTCGCAAAATACGGGTCAATAAAATTATATTATATCAATATTTAGATAATAATTATTTTAGAGCTAAACAATCATAAAAACCTTTTAATTAATATGTATTTTCATTATGTTTATAGCAAACCGACCAAAGAGTGGCCAAAATTTATAGACAACAAAGCATTGGACACCAAATCCCAAGACTTAAATCCAACCAAATTAACCCATTATATCGATAACTTATTTAATACAACATGCGATGGCTTTTGGAAACATTACTATAATTAATATATAAATCACTGAATTCTTATAGAAAATTTCATAAATAAAAATAAAGTATCAAAATTTTATTTACATGTTATATGAAAACTTATTATTTAAGTATTTAAGTATACTCATATTAATAAAATTTACGTAATGTGAATATGAACATAAAACTTTATTAAAATAATTTTATAATAATTGAGTATTTTTTATATGATGGACATTGAAAATTAAATTATAAAACAGTCTTTGAGAAACGGAATACCATGAAAAAATATAAAAATTATATTTTTGAATTATTTTTATACAATTTAATTTAGGAATAAATTACAATCTTACAATGGGGTGTCACTCGCTGTACAACTCTTATTAAATTAAAACCTACATGATTATATAGCTTCACCATGCTAAATTAAGAATATCGGGGTCCGATAATCTATGGGAAGGTGGTCTGGTCATAATCCAGTGGTCAAGTTT